CCCAACACTGACTCACTGTTACTGACCAATAACAGTAGACCCCCCCAATCAGCTGCTTGAAGATACTGTTTTTAAATAAAACTTTTCTGAGTCTTGATCAAGTTTGATCAATTTTCAGATCAAAAGCTGCCGTTGCCATGACGACCACTTCCTGTTCCAGCCCTGAGCTAACAACTCTCCAGGTGAGTGTTGCGTACCTGCTTCAGGAACCTGGGGTTGACGTGGATGGCAGTGGTGGGCGGCGGCAGCGGCTTGATGGGCCAGGCCGGGTCCAGAGCGTTGACCCGGACGTCCAGCGCGTACAGCTTCTTGAGGGGGAAGACCTCGTCCCACGTGGAGCGCAGCTTGAACAGGCTCTTCCTGGTGTTCTCGTCCACCTGCAGACAGAGCACAGGTCTGAGTCCAGAGCTGGTTCTGAGTCCACGAGTGCCAGAACATGTCAAACATCAAGGCGAGGAGCAGAGAGGAGACAGAGGAGCAGAGCAGGGAGAAGAGGGCGGTTGGAGCTGAAGGTCTCACCTTTTCAAAGACACAAATAAATGAAGCGATTAGGTTTTTAGCAAACACTGCGAGGTACTCTCCTCCAACGTTCTTCACTATGGAGTCCACTAAGTACAAAACAGGCAGCTTCTCGATGGCCGGGGCCTGGAGCACATGAAGAGAACTCAACAAGTTTAGACAACAGTTCAAACATGTCCAACAAACTTCACATCACATGTCTAATAGACGAGTCCACACAAGGTCCCGGCTCGGCTTCAGCTCATCCTGGAGCCCAAAAACGCTCCAGGCATCGTCCTCGGGACGAGGACAGGAAAACAAAAAGTGTCCATGATCCCCAGAGGGTTCAAAAACTGGATCCAGTCTGCAGGAACCGGTTTACCTCCAAAGAGGGTTCTTCAGTCCCTCTTTGTACGTTACTCCACGGCCCAGTCCAGTCTGAAGCTTTGATCTTTAAGTTTGAAACCTCCGACTCGTTTGTTTTTATTTAGCGCAGAGAACCGCAGTAAAACCCAGAGTCAAACCAAGAAATGAAAAATGACAAAAAACACATTTCACAAGTTTTATTATCAACAGTTGAACCATTTAATGACATTTCAGGAAAAATCAACGGACTTCATGCAGAGATGTGTTCAGGGGCCGCGTGTTGGGGGGGGGGGGGTGTCTGAACAGGTTAAAACAGACTGAGGTTCTGCTCAAACACTGATGTGGTCTGAGGAACAACGGCCGGCTGGTTCTGACAGAACTGTCATGTTTTCTGTTTTAATGTTTGTTGTAAATAAAGTTGGACGAGTTCAAATGAAGGTTTTGGTTTAACTGAATAAACTGCTTCTCACGAACGGACCGCTGTTCATCTTAAACGCTCTGATCTTCTGTGCTAGCTAATATCTTACCTGTTGTAGACACACAACTGATTTCTGACCCGACTGATGGTCCGAACAGAACCAAAGTGGGACTCTACCTAAATCAGCTTCAAACGGCGCCGGTTCACGCGAGCAGCGTTTTATTGCTCTGTACGGTTAGTCCACATGAAAACTGTTTGCACAGATTCTAAGAGCCCTGAACGCAGCAGCAGCTGCTGTAGCACTTCTGGGGTGACAGGAAGTCCATCTTTCTGCTGAACTGGACCTGACGTTAACTGCAGTCAAGATGGCCGACATCCACCTTGGTGCTCCTGGTCTGCAGCCGGGCAAATGGACATCTACAACAGGTAAGATATTCACTTGGTACAGCAAAAGTCACTAACGTGTGTTGGTCCTCTTGGTGATAAATTTAAAGGTTTTAGTTTTTAGGAGGACAAAGTGGCATTTTCCATTTCATATTGTTTCTGAACTTCTTTTAATGGAATAATCTGCTGTTAAACTTCAAAACCATCAATTTATAATTAAAACAAAAGTAAAAAATTTAAACCGTTTTTGAGCCAGATCAAGCAGCGTATTTTATTTTAGTTAAAACTTTTAACCGTACAGAATTTAACTTCAAACGTTTTAATGTTGAACCCGAGACCACATCGAGTTAAAACTGTAGAATAATCGATCAGCCGTCTTACTGAAAACACATAATGAACTGGTTGTAAACTTTATTACACATTAATGGCGTTAGCCGCCAGTGCTAATGCTAGCAGGACAACAACGACATGAAGGCCAGCGCCATGTTCCGCCGAGCAGAAGAGATTCTGTTTTCATAAAAACCTTGCTTATTTGCGCTTCGATAATTGCCACGATATCCTTGGCGAACTGGGTGTTTTCTTCTGCCAGGATGGTGAGCATGTTGATGTGGGGCTTGCTGTTGAACGTCAGGTCTTCCAGCGAGGACTGGTACTCTCTACAGGCGTCTTCCCTCGCCGCCGCGTCGTCCATCTTCGAGCTCAACGACCCGGGAAAACCTACTCCGGCCGGATTAATACCATAACCACTTATCAGCAGGCAGTCCATGGACTCATCCGGCTAACCGCTCGGGCACGGGTCTCTGACCACTAACGCCGGATTCGTGATTTATTTCAGGCTCCGTCACTGTCAGTTCGCTTCGTTGACAAGAAAATGGCGACAGCAACTGAAATGCTCCTACGTCACGTGACAAGGTTATATTCGAGCCATGACGTAGCCTCAGCCTTATTGGCTGTCTCGTTCAGGATTCAGAATCTGATTGGTTGAATGAATTAACCGTCAAATGAAGAAGCCAATCAGAGAGAGGCAGCTTGAGGTCATGATTACGTAAGGAAGCGTAAAATGATTAGCCAACATGAGGGCAGCGCGTGGTGCCTGACTATAATTTTAAACAAAACGACATTTAATAAATTGAACCAGAGCTCATTTGTCAGAGGCGGCTCATGTAATAAACTTCACATCGTTACCATCAGTGTAACCAGATGATGGTGTACAACCAGATAGAAAACATGTCTGACAGCGTAAAGCTCCTGATCTGCTCCTTTTTGTGGTTCTTGAAAATAGTCAGGCTCCTCTGTGATAAGTACTTTTATACCTGGATTATTGAGCATGCATCAGGATACTTTTATAAAGTTTTCATTTGGACTTTAGGTGCTTTTATCATCAGTACGAACGGAGTCAACCATCAACCAGACCTGCTCAGAACCTGAACATTATGGAGACACTGAAGACGCAACATAAATTACTGCGTTTCAGTTCAACAAGTTTCTACTTGACCGTCTGTTAGAACGAGCTTTAATCTTGTTTATGATCAAACGGCTGCATGTTTAGTTTGTAACACTAAGGAGAGCTCTGTAAAGAGCTGAAGACCAGCGTCAGCGTGGACATCCTGTTTATTTACAGAGGAACGTCTTCTCAGTCCAAGCCTCCCCGACTCCAAGGTCCCCCACTCGTTTACTCATTCCTCTGTGATGGAGGTCTGACGGTTCTGTTCACCCGGCCCGTTCAGGCCCAGCAGCTCACAAAAACTGATTATTAATTATTAAATTGTGTTCGTAGATTTGAACTGTTTAACTGGAAATAAAACAAAAGTCCACCTCAGCACAAAAAACAAAACACTCAAAAACAGATCAACAGCTCTTTAATGTGTCCAGAACCAGAACTGACCCGAACTGTGGGTCCAGAACCACAGCAGGTCAGAGTTCATGTCACTGAAGGAAATGATCATTTACACAGAAGAGATTAAAAAAAAAAATTACAGAAATGTGTCAAAAGAGTCCTCTCAGACGGGAAGCGTCTCCTGTTCCTCAGACAGGAAGCGTCTCCTG